CCTTTTCCTCCCACTGCAAATGGCCATGCTGATGCCAGTTCTCTCATACCATGGCTTAAGAACCTCTCATCTGGCTCATCTTCAGCGTCATCCAAACTTCCCAACAATTTCTACATTCACAGTGGCTCAATAAGTGCTCCAGTCACCCCACCATTGAGCTCTCCAACTTCTCGAACTCCTCGGACCAAAAATGATTGGGATGATCCTTCTTCTGGATCCGCCTGGGCTAGACAGAACTATGCTTTCCTTCCATCATCCACCCCACCAAGTCCAGGACGTCAGGTCCTACCTGATTCTGCATGGTTTGCTGGCATCCAAATTTCCCAGAGTAGGCCATCATCACCCACATTCAGCCTGGTCTCAAGAAATCCATTTGGGTTTAGGGAGGAGGCTTTATCTGGTGGAGGCTCGCGGATGTGGACTCCTGGACAAAGTGGAACATGCTCTCCAGCAGTTCCTGCAGGCATTGATGACAACGGGGATGTTCCCATGTCAGATGGGATTGCAGCAGAATTTGCATTTGGCAGTAATATAACAGGGTTAGTGAAGCCTTGGGAAGGAGAGAGGATTCATGAGGAGTGTGTATCTGATGATCTTGAACTTACGCTTGGGAACTCCAGAACCAGGTAAGTTGATTTTGATTTTTTGTTGAATGGCTACAGCATGCTGCATATTCCTGTGCTTTTCCAGTTAATGTGTTCAATATATAAACACAATCCTAGCTTTATACTTTACCAACTCCACCTATGTCAGCTCGATTTTTCTAGGAGGTCTTAAAAGCAAAAGATGAATTATTTTGGTGCTGCAGATAGGGTATGATGGAGAGTGAAGTCGGAAGTGCATCATCCATGCTTATCTTGATTTGGCTTCTCAACATAGGCTTATGTGCATTGCGCTTGGAAAGAAAGTTAATTTGAGAGACAGTCAGTTGCAGCCCTTGTTCTTTTCTTCTTCCCATCATTTGAGGAGGAAAAAAAAGGAGAGAAAACCACGGAAAGATTAATTTATAGATAGTTCATAGTGGTGACTAAATCCCTTCCTTACTATCCATATTTCTACCATTCCAGGGTTTAAACTCCCCTCTTGTTCGGATACTTCTCTAGAACTGAATTTGGTGCTTACACGGTAGGGATTTCTTCCCCCAGTTCCAACAGGAAAAGGAAAGAACTTGAGTTCATTCAATTAATTCTTCCATTCTTCATCCCCACTCTTTCATCTTTCTTTTTTCTTACAGGGAAATATTTAATTAGAGTGTTGATGCACTGGTCTTGTTGGCTTGTTTGGTTTGATTTTGGGTATGTGATTGAAAGGGATTTTGGATGTGAAGGTCTTATTAACTCACTGGTTTTAAGGTCTTATTTCACATTTTTCTGAATCCCTATAGTTCTCCTTTTTCTGGTGCCTTCTTCCTTCAAATGTTCTCTTTACTTCTGTGGTGGTCCCCAAGCTCTTGGAACAAAGATTATAGAAAAATTATTTTATAAAATAAATATACATTAAAATAGTTATATTGTATGTCTGTTAATGACTTACAAGAAATTCAAATTAATCAAATATTATTTGCAGATTGAGATTTTTTTTTTTTTTTAATAAGTAGAAAAGCTAGATTGAAACTTAATCATATTATTAATAAAAACACTATCATATCAATATGTGATTAGTTCTTAAGATTTGTACATTGCATTATCATATGTAAAGAAAATGATTTGGGAAGCAATAAAATGATTTATGTGTGCATTAACTTTGGTTTTTTTTTTAGAAAATATGTTCGTTAATTAAAGAGTATATGAATGCTTTTTTATTTTTAATTTTAACTGAATTAAATTATTATTATTATTATTTTTTTATAAAAAAAAAAATTACTACTTGATTTAGGGGCTCATTCTAATTTGGTACTATTTCAGTGGAATGCACATACGTATAATATGTATATTCCACACATACATATATTGTTTC